ATAACCGTTGTCCCGCGCCATTAGCGAATACTGAGAAGATAATAATCTTCGAGGCGAGAGAAGGCGAGAGGAAATGAAGTTTCACGAGTCTTGAAAACGCGGCAATCGGGAATTGGCTTGTTACGGGAACACACGTGCGGAATCACGTGCATTTCCACCTTAGGATCTGTGTCACAATAGAAATATATTAGAGCCGATATTCCTAGTGAGATCTTGTATTCGAGATTCGTCTTCAGATGCTTCGTAGTCAGTGAAATGAGTCATGTAGAATCTGAAGATGAACTCAAGACGGTCTTACATGTAAGATAAGATTATGAATATCGGCCTCGGAATAAACATTGAGAATAAGAATTAGGAATAGCGCGATTAAACATAATGCACAATGGAAAAGAATAAAATATGAGATATAAATATAGAAATTGTGTCACAGCCGTTGTGTGAAAATAATTCCTAATTCCTATTCCCAATACTTAACATTTATTCTTATTTCTAATATATGTTCTATTGTACGTAAGGCTTTAACCTTCCGTAACATTTCTCACCCGTGAGTCACAATGTATCTCACAGATATGTTAATTTTCCCATTATTTTCCTCCGCTTCTTGAAACAATTTCTCTTTCAGCAGCGCTTGGATAACAAACCAGGCCCAGGAAGTATATAAAAGTAAATAAAACACATAAAGTACATAAAGTTGAAGTACATAAAAAACAGTGAAGAATAAAGGGAACAAGGAAAAAAACAATAAGAAGGACGGGTTCAATCTTGAGACCGTATAGTGCCTGAATCTATATTGGATATTGCGACTAACGGAGGGTTAAATCCAGACAAAGCGTACGAGCATCAGAAACGAATATCAGGGAACTCGATCTCGTGTCGGTACGTCAAAGAAAACGTGTTTGACTATTTCATCGTTCGCACACGTTCGTCCGTACTCGTTCTGGGTTCATCTTTTACGGTCGCACGAACCGGTGCGTGGTTTCTTAAGGCTTACCCCGATAAACTCGCATTATCACCTTCTGCATATGCATAAGAAAGTCAACCAATGATGACCTATGCGGAAAAGAATGTTTCCTATATTAGACATATGCTTGGATAATTTCCTTCTACATATGCATTACGCGAGTTTGCGAGACACTTTACGCTCGACCGCCGAATGATGCTATTGAAAACAAAAGAGAAGAAACTGCAGAGCAGTTATGCGATCCTTATAATTATCACCGGAAGAATGACGCGACGTGACGCAATCAATTCGGCGACGCATTCCCCTCGCGAGAGTTCGCTCCTGCGAGGCTGCGCCGCCGACGTCGATTAGCGCCCGCCTCAATTATCTCAACCTTGTTGCTCCGTCTGCTTTAAGACGAGACTGTTAAAAAAAAAAACCTCCCAGAAGGACTGAACTATCAAAAAAAAAAAAAAAAAAAAAAANGCTGTTGATTCAGCCGAGATTGATCATAGCAGCGCCGATTAGCGCTAATCTGCCTTTTAGAACGAGACGGACGAGCTTCTTCCTCTGGAAGCCGTCCGTAACCGGGGTCTCTCGCTTCTGTTTATTTGGCGCACTGGGCTTTAAACTCCGGAGATTAAGGCGTAATCTAGAAGAGAGCGGAAAGGCGGCCGAAGAATCGGAAAGCTTTCAATCACAGCGGACAGCGAGAGGCCAGAGTGCAGAGGGGTTAAAAACGCGTGTCAAGCCGAGAGAGAAACGATCATCCTTCTCGTCCTCGCTGTCGTGTCGCGTGTTGCGCGTGCGAAACGTCAATGAAACGGCCCGCTCGTTTATCGTCGCCGTTTTATCGTGGGCTTCAATAAGAAAGAAAGAGAGAGAGAGATACCATAGTACTCGCGTCTTTACTACGCGAGCCGCGACTTCATCACTCCATTGACGGTGGGGCGCTCGGTTTTTTCAGCCCGCGAAAAGAGATTACACCGGCGAGACCGCGAGGGATGACGTTTGATGTTCGCCGCTCCAAACAGAGCGAGCCGGGCGTCTCGAGTGAAGTAACAACGCGGAAACACCTCAAACGTCACACGGCACGCTCACCGGAACGACAATATTTTCGTTGCACGATGTGACAACACGGGATCGAAAGATGCTCCGTTCGCTCGCTCGCTCGCTCGCTTCGATCGATCGATCACGCACTTTCGCTCCGTATCCATTTAAATCTCGACACGGGAAAGTAAACGGCGCGCGGTCCCCGACGTCACATGTAGGCCCGCTCTTTTTCGCCCGACTACACTTGTAGAACTAAACACGAGACCTACGCAAGTTAAGGCCCCTGTGTCCTTATTACTTTGGCTGTTTTCGTTCGATGACATCAGAAGCGAGAAATCGCGTGTCAAAATATATTACGGTACGTGGGAATGAAAGAGGATGCGTTAAACGGGGTCTACGGTGAAAATTTAAGCACTAAACCTTAAGAAATCGACCAATCACGGTCGATTATTCTCATCACATTCGACTGTGATTGGCTTCCTAAGGCTTAGAGCTTAAATTTTCATTACAGACCCCGCTTAAAATGGTACTCGTGATAGAATCAACTGTTACACTTGTAAAAATGTCCGGACGCTTCCTTTTAATCTGAACAATCAATAAATAAAATTAACGTGACAGAAATCATGAAAATATAGATATAGGTTAAAAACGTAGGTTGTATATTACACTAATTTTCGGTCATTCATAGTCAGATCTAATATGAGACCGTCTTGAGTCCGTCTTCGGACGTTTCGCAGCTAACGAGATGAGCCGTACAACATCTGAAGATGAACTTGAGACGGTCTTAAATATAAGATCCGGCTATGAGTACCGAGGCTACGACTTGCCGGAAGAAAGAAGAGGACTGGTACAAACTAGTGCAGTCGGTTCAGCGAAAAAGAGCAGACCTTGTGGCGAAGGGAATGTGACAGTCGGCGCGCGATGCGCTTCCCCGTGCTCCGTATTCTCCCGAATCTTCCGTGTCGTCGTTGGTGAATCGAACCGGTGCGGAATTGTATCCGCATGTTAATCCTCGAGCAGCCCAGTGAGATGAAACTTCGCTCGACGACCGACGAGCTGATTGATCGCGTTGTGTGAACCAACGAGTAGTATTCGCCGAAACGTTCGAGGAACGAGGCCTCGGCGCGTGGCGATGTCGCCGAATACCCGACGGTAACCTCGAGAAGTATCTCTCGCGCTGATCCGACGGGACCGTCACGCTTCGTTTTGAGGCACCCGGGGCACCAGACTCCCGAGCAGAAAAATGATCGGGACTCTTGGAGAGAGAGAGAGAGAGAGAGACGCGTACACAGGTAGAGGCGGATGATCGTGAGTCACGGATTGACTACTGCGAAGACGGGAAAGGACAATGAGAAAGAGAGTGACGAGGAGGAGAGGAGGAGGAAGGAGGCCACGAGAGTGGCTGGACAGGCCGCGCGCGCTTTTGCTCTCCTACACCGGCGTGAGCGCGCGTTTCTCCGCTCGCTATCTTATTAGGCGAAATGAAATACCGGCTGAACGAACACGTCCGTCTATTTGTCCGCCGTTCGTCCGGTTAAAGACGACGATGGGGCCGAGGGCGAAGAGAGGCCGCCGGCTGCGCGTGTTTGTCGGGGCCCCTCTCACCCAGCTCGAACGAGTGAGCGAGCGAGTGAGCGAACGCACGATTGTACGAGCGAGCGAGCGAGCGAGCGAGTGAGTGAGCGAGCGACGGCGACCGACCGACCAGCCAACCGACCGACGGAACGAGAGGACGCGAGAAGAGCGGAGAGAGAGAGAGAAAGAGAGAGAGAGAGCGAGAGCAGCTGCCGCCGCCGCCGTCGCTACCGAGGAACGGTTTGTCGGGACGACCCTAAAACTGCTGTTGCTCCGCTTGCCCGTCGCTCGGCGAAGCGTGCACGCGTGAGGAACGTGCGTCGCTGTGGTGGGCTCGTCCGTTCGCCTCGGTCACTCCGAGGTGACGCGGACAGAGGGAAAAAGATGAACAGAGGGAAAGAGAGACGGACACAGACAGGCGGTAGAGAGGAGAGAGAGAGAGAAAGGGGAGGGTAAACGAACGATCGATCGGCCGTGGCGAGTGGCGAATTTGGCGCGCAATGGGTAAATCGTCGTCGGGACGGAGCTGATAACCGCACGGTGGATCGCACAATCGTCGCCGTCGGCGGCCGCCGATCCCGACGGGTAGCCATTTTGAGCGAATATTCTCGCGCGGGCAGCACGGCGAGCGCCCGTGAACGCCCTATAATTGAGCATCGACGCGCGGACGACGTCGCGCGACCCGAGAGCCTCGCCGTCGGTTGCGCCGTCGACGCATCCGGCGGCACGGCGGGCGCGCGACGGCCGTCGCCAACGTACATGGCGAGCCGCCGACGGCACTTCGCCGCTCGGGAAACGGGCGAGCGTACGGCGCGATGAAGAGGAACGAGGCGTCCACCGGGCGCACACTCCCCGTCGTCGCCGTCGCCGGTGCGCGATCCACGTCGAGGCGGGCGAGAGACGACGAGGCGAGCGAGACCGTCGTGGCCCGAGCGACGGGCAGCCATCTTGGCAGCAGACACGGCCGCTTCTCGAGCGTTTCGCTGGCCTCCGCCGCTCGCCCGTGCGAGCGTTTAACTACTTGCGACGACGACGGAGTCGTCGAGTCGCGGACACGCGCCTCCTCGTGGCGCTCCTCCGCTGGGCTCCCCTGTACCGTCGCGCGACCTGACCGTGTGAATGCGCCTGGTGAAGGAGAAACGGCGAGGAAACGTTACGCCGTCAACGTTATTGCACCACGTATAGGAACATCCTCCGTCTCTTTTTCCTCTCTCTCTTTCCTTTCCCTCCCGCGCGCTCTTTCTCTCTCACGCTCTCGGCCGCCCGCCGTTCGTTCTCTCGCTCGCTCGCTCGCTCGCACACACGCACGTCCGTTCGCTCTCTCGCGGGCGCTCCGGCCCCGTATGCGTCGGGCCACGACGAGCACGGCCGATCCTCGCGTGGTTTTTTACCGCAGAGCCTAGCCGCGATGATGCCCGTGGGGGCCCGTTACCTGGTCGCAGCGCTCCCATCGACAGGTAAATCCACTGGTACGACGTTGGCACGTATCACCGGGTATCAACGACACACGGAACGCGTAATCACGATCACCAATTATCTCGCGCGACAACGGCGTCACATTTCACACAAATCAACAAAGGTTACCCACTTGACAAAGATGGCGGACACGGCGCGCGCGGGGGTTACACACACACTACGCGCACGCGGTGGGGAGCGCACTGCGCAACTCGCCGCGCGCTCTCCGGCACACGGCGGCGGAAGTACGAAGCACGAGATAGCCGTGGCGGCACGCGTTCCCCTCGACCAATCCCGGCCCCGGTCTGCGCCTCACTAACACACTAACGCGCTCTCTCTCTCGGTCGGTCACACGTGCGTCGCGCCGCTGGCTCGCCCGTTCTGCGCATGTGTACCGGTGCGAGTGTGCGTTACGTGCGCGCATACGTCGCGTATGCACATAATACACCCTGCGCATTGCAAGCATATATATATGTACTTCAGACATATATATATATACACATTCTTTACGCGATATGTGCGCGTATTCGTGTACACTCGCCGCAGAAGGACTCGTACGCTCGCTTTCCGGCGAGACGCGTCCAATAAGAAGACCTAACTCTTGCGAACGACTCGAAAACAAATCTTCTCATTGGGCGCCCCCGCTGGCTTCCGACGTATGCCGGAAAAAAGCGGCCGGATCGTTCCGCGAACGGATACGTACCCGCATACGGCGCACGGTAACGCGCGTGTGTGTACGTATGACGGGTGCGCACGATGATAAGTATTGCGTGTGTACTCGCGGTGGCGATACGCCGCGCGAGATACGAATTTATGCTCGCACGTATACACGAGTACCTCCTGTACATGGTGTGCGCGCGCGAGAGAGCGTACGCGCCGCACGGCGATCCGCCGAGCGGCGCGGCGAAGAAAGCGAAGAACGAGGCCGATCGCGCGCGCGAGAAGACACAACGGCGATCCACGCGGCTCGCCCGGCGCGAGAGACTATGGCCGACCGCGCGCTCGCTTAATCGCTCTCTCCCAATTGGGCCGTCGAGTTGCGCCCCGCAGACGGACGCCACGCAGCGCAGCTGGGAGATCCTTGTCAACGAGGAGTCGTCGGCAGGACCGTACACATTCGTCCCCATTAGCACCGGCCCCCCACCGATTTTTTCTATTTCCCTCCCCTCTCCAACTGCACTTTCTGCACTCGTCCTTTCCTCTCGTCGGTCTCCCTCAGACGGTACAGTGCCGGACAAAAAGGTCATGAAACTTTTTTCTCATGACTTTCGCTCGTATCCAAGAGAAGATTGTATGTCTTAAGAATAAGAAGGGAACGATTCTCTTGTCGGACGCGAGATGAGTTCCCGAACTTACTCGAAAAAGTGTAACGATCTTTCCGCCCACCACTGCAGAGACGCAAGTTTGTTTTACTTAAAATGTAAAATCGCTTGAGTGAATACGAGACGTACGAATATAAAAAACGTTCTGTCGTTTCAACAGATCGATCGTTGTTCTCTTTGTGAGTGAGTGAGAGAGAGAGAGAGGTGAAGAACTGTTTGAAAAAAAAAAAAAAAAAAAAAACTGGTAAACGGTTGTTTGTTCGAACGATTTGACAGAAAATTACACTCGTCTTACCTACATTGCGTGCGATAAAAAAAAGATACCGGTTCAATTTCGTACGACACTGGCGCGCGGTGAACGTAGTGCATGCGAAACGCGCGGTATGTCCTCCGCAATTTCGTAATGAGATTATTGATTTTTTTAAGAACTGTCGTCTCCCTCTCTCTCTCGCGCGCGTTCACACGCCGGCCGTCCATCCTTGCTTCTGCCCGCTTCCTCTCTGTCCGTTTCCACCAGCTCGATATGTCTCTATCCTGCTCGGTGGACTCCGCAGCATTCGCCGTATATACACACCGCGCACGCGTGCCGCGTCTCGCATAATTGAATATACTCCCGCTACGTGATATCATACGGCCAGCGGTCGTGTACGCGAAGCTAACCAGCAAATTCTCGGTAATATCTACATACCCGGTGATTGTATTGATTTTCCCTCGACAGTATGTAAATTAGCGCGCCACAATGTAAGTGCGCGCGTGCGGTAAATTCTGCGTAGTTTATGCACTCGAGCGGCTAGCATCACCGCGATGCGATTAAAATTTCGGCCGATCGCGAAAAACTCGACTCCTTCTCCGATGTACCCCTTCGACCCCGAGATTGGTTTGTAAAATAATCGCTGGAGCAATCGAATACGAATGACACGAACAGCAGAGTTCAAAAAGATTGTTCAGAATTCAAATCGTTCTCTTTCATCCGTCGATAAATTAACATATGATTCAACGTCGATTAATTTCTAGGGGAACATGTACATGAATTATTAAGAGAAAATATAGCTCTATGTATTTCTATGCCTACAGTTGCTCCTGTGAAATACACAGACTTGATACAAAAAGGTCGAAAAGATCGAGGTAAAAAAAAAAAAGATTAAGCCTTTTATTAAGTACACATTATTGCTAGTGAATTGACGTCGATCAAAACTGGAAATTCGGCTTTCCCTCGTAAGTACACCCGGACATCTGCACGATCTCCGTGGCCGCCCAAATGCCGCACTTTATGCAGGTCTCCATACTTTTACTCTGTACGAGTTGTGCGAGGAAGCCTGGAAACGATTTTGTCGCGGTTAATAAAATCTTACTACGATTCTCGCCGTGTTAACGAGGAAAAGAGTCGCGGCTGCTGCTCACCACCAACAAAAGCGTCGCCAGCACCATTGGTATCCACGACCTTCTCTTCTGGCAGTTTTATAACGGGATATTCCGTCACCGTGCCATCTTCGGCTACGAGCACCGCCTCGCAGCCTTGCGTTATGACGACTATTCGTTTCCTCTTGCCATTGATTTTCTCTATCTGCGAGATCTTGAGCGCGACCTGCTTCCTGTCCGTCGTCGCGAGGCCGTTCACCCTCGCGAACGTGTCCGCCTCCGTTTCGTTGCCAAATAGTATGTCCACGTAAGGGAGGGCGGCTAACATCGGTTTTTGGAAGTACTCGCACAGAAACGGAGCGCTAAGATTCATCATGAACATTTTGTCGTGCTCGTGCGCATGTTTCGCCACCGTTTGTATGGAGTCTGGACTGACCGTCAAGAAGAAACCCTGGAACGGGGAGTGTGAGATTTTGTAATGTGGCACACTCTTATCTTGCAATTGTATCTTTCGCTTTTACATTACAACGATTAGACAATTATGCAAAGAGGATCTAACCCACAAAATAGATTTTTTAGATTTTTGCAACCAATAGCCGACTTATATGTCTTTCTATATAAAATAAGAAAATATAAGCCTTGTAAGGCAATTAATATTTAATAAAAAACAATTTTTATCTTTTACTAATTATGCCATTTTTTTTACTAGTTGCATCTTTTTTACCTATTTTTTTTTTTTAAGGTTTGAGCTTGTCAACGAGTTTCCTTAAAGAAAACTGACTTGATAACTTGACTTCTTGAACGATTGTGGAGAACTTCAGCGCTATTTATACTTTTTATAAATCATGCATCAAATCTTCATCTTTATTTTCCTTGAAACGTACTCCATGAGGATTGCACCTTTCTTGCATAACTATGGGTAATAATTATCAAAGGAAATCTCTACTCGTATAAATTATTAAGAGAAAATACAGCTCTATATATTTCTATGCCTACAATTGCTTCTGTAAAATACAGACTTGATACAAAAGGTCGAAAGAATCGAGGTAAAAAAAAAAAAAAATTAGCTTTTTATTAAGTATATATTATTACTAGTAAATTGACGTCGACCGAGACTGGAAATTCAGCTCTTTCATCCTCTCTATACTTACCGATATATAAATGTACCTCGCGGCGTCTATCAGACGCTTGTTCTCCGGTTTTTCGATGTGCGAATGTGAGAAGCAATTCGCTGCTGCCAAATTAGCGCACAGAGAGCGTTCTTTCCCCGTAATAAGAACGGCGCACGTTCCGGTTGGTTCCTCGTCCACGTACTGATACCGAACGTTCAAGCCCGCCACGTTTGCTTTGTCCTCTAAAATCTTAGAATACTTGTCCCTGCCGACACAGCCCATGTAAGTGGCAACATTTGGTTTCTGCAGGAGCCACTGCGAGATGCAAATTTCGATTGTTTACTATTGTGCGACACACACTTTGCTCTTATCTGCAGAGCATTAATCTGTTAATTTTAATGAAATATATGGGCGAAATTTACTTGTGCTACTCTCATAGTATTCTGTACGGATCCACCTGCAATGAAGTCAGCTTTGTACAGTTCAATTAGTTCCTCGTACAGAGGTTTGTGCTTGTCCTCAGCCAGAATAGCATTGTTGGACTTCAGATCATATTTCTTTAAAAATTCATGATCTACAGTTGCTGAAATATCGAGCAGGGGATTCCCCATGCCCAACAGCAGTCCTTCCCTAAAATGGCAAGTTTTCAATAAGTACGAACCTTACTAGTATACAAAATTCAGATTAAAATTAAAATAAAATTATAAAATATAGTAAATTGTAAAACTGAAATATTCGTAACCGGCAGAATTACGGGAAAGAAACGTATTGAGCGCACAATTGTGACCTCGTTTTTCCTCATACTCTGTACATATCTCCCGACCGGGACGAGCACGAGATAATTAGCAATACAAAATATCGAGTGTGTTCGCGACATATTTTTAAATTATCGCACTGAATTTAATTCAGCCGCGTCGATGCGAATCGACCCTGAGACGATTACATAACCTGTCCTTTCGCGGTCTCATCGCCGGAACGTGGCGTCGTCGATGTTGCGATCACGATTTCAGAGAGAAATCGCCTCGTCACATCGAGCGTCTATCATTTTCACATTATTTTCGCAAAAGATAAGCTAATTTCCTGCGGTGAATCTCGATCGATCGTTCTTCTGCGGCATGCATATCACGCGTACACATAACCTCGAGAACACGGCGCCTACGACATAACCTCGAAATGGGAGGTCCCCTGGTACACGTTCGACGACGAATCACACGAGTAAAGCATGAAAAAAATACGAAATCGCACGGACCAAATGTCTCTCTTTCTCTCTCTTACTTACCGTAAGTCTTTTGCCATTTGTGCGCGATATGAGTGTTCTCACACGACCTGCGAAGGTATCCAAGGATTCTCTGCTACAACGGCGCGCCACCGATGACAACGCTTGGTGAAGCGACTTTTGTGCTGCGCCGGAATGAGAATGATCTCCTCCAATGGCATCGACTCGATTATACGCAGTCACGCTAAAAAAATATCCGCCTACTTAACCTCCGAGCGATGTTATCGTTACGGTTCATCGTAGCGGCTGACGCTTATCAACAAGCGACGATATATAGAGAGAGAGAGAGAGAGTGAGAGAGGGGGGGGGGGGGCAGAAGCCTTTAAANAAGATTACGAGCTAAACGCGGCGGCTCGGGTGTGATAATTCCCGTCTTACGACACTTGCATGGGTAATTCCCGATTTACGACACTCAATGTCTCTATTGGGGAAGATCATTCTTGCCTGTAACACATGTAAACAAGCGCGATTCGCATTCCAGGCGGACGCGTAACACACACGCGCACATATTCGCGCGTTCTTTCCGCAAGATAACCCCCGTTCTTTCGTCATTTCTCACATATATTCAAAATAACGCGAAGATACGTTTAGAAAAACGAAACTAAGAAAATAAAAATTTATCAGATCGAATTTAGCAACTCCAATGATTCCAACTATTCTAAAGCGGCTAAATCGTGAACCAATTAACTTGTAAAAACGAGTCCCTAAGTTTTCTATATGTAGCTCTATTAAGTAATTTTTAACGACAATGTCGTTATCTATGCGTTGTCACAACGCATAGATAATATATACGAAAAAAGCTGCGCAACGACCACGTAATGATGACCGACACTGTCATTAAATGTTACGGAATGGCTCTGCTGGAATGTATAATGTAACGAAATATCAGTACATATATATGTGCTGATATTTCATATATATATATATATGCTGATATTTCGTCGCATTACATTTCAGTACATCTATTGTTATTTTTAACTAATTATATATATACGTATATGTAACAAAATGGATATCGATCATATTAGAACGTAGGCGACGTTAATAAATTGCGCTGAACCCAAGTAAAATAATTGAAAGGGCTCCTCTGGAGTCAAGATCTTTATTGTTGGATTACACATACTGAACTTTTCAGTCGTCGGGCGGCTTTATCTCGTCAAGGCAACGACATCCCGCAACGCACGTTTACGCACGGGGGGGGGGGGGGTCTANGGGGATCTACTTACGGCGTGATTCGAACTCGTCGCGATCGAACGACACACGACAGAGCTCGGACTGCTCTCTCTCTCTTACCTGCGAGATTATAATCCTACTTACCTACTCACGTGCTTCTATTCCGAGAACGGTGTCAAGTACGGAGGTAATTACTAATGAAAAAATCGCTCGGAGATACTCAACGTTGTAAGGCACACTCGAGTCCCGCGGTACCCGCGAAGGCGGCGATTAGAAACCGACGGCACAACATCAGCAAGAATATCTCGTACGATCGCAGCGTCGGGGAGGATATCCGCGAGGCTCCGTAGCGGTTTCAACCCCCCGTGGAAGACGCGAAAAGAGCGAGAGAGAACCAGCACGAGAGAGCACGCACGCACGTCGGGGGATGCGATCCGCGTTCGTTACCCGCGAGATCTCGAATCACCGAGGTCCCGGAAGATCGGCCGGGGATACGGGTGGCGCGACGAAGGGGAAATTACTCGTTTCTTTACGATACCTTCGTGCTCCCGCTGAACTCTGAGAAAGAGAGAGAGAGACACACACACACACATAACGAGAGATGGAGCGCGACTCTAGAGAATCCGCCCTATCTCGGGTTTTTAGAGGCGGGGGATTCGGCGTGTGCGTGTGTATGTATGTTAAGTCGCACGTCGCAGCGCACATGTCGATCACTCGCAGTTTTGTCCTAGGCGCACCCTATACAAGAAGAGAGGACGACTTTTCCCCAACAAAGGCCTGGGAAGCGGCGCCGCTTCTCTCCTGAGAAAGAAAACATGGTTTTTCGTTTGAGAGGCGGTTTCGTGCGAGGGGAACGGTGGTGAACGCACACACACATACGGAACGGGGGGGGGGGGGGGA